CCGGCAGGACGCGCGGGATTTCATTGAATTCCTCTGGCAATTATCTGTATTATATGCCTGGGAATGATCTCCCGTTCTCGATTTCGCCGTTAATTGTGAAATATAATATGAATTTTTTCAAGCCTTACGCGCACCGCGCTTCAGCCGGAAGAAGATCGTTTCCGGTGAATTTTACAGCACCGTATTGTGATGGACTTTCATTCAAGAACGTTGCGCTAGGTTAGGTTCGTAAGAATTAACTTGTGCAAAATACAATGAATTAGAATAATACCCGTACTTTTCTGACGACTGTCATGAACTTTCATTCAAGAACTCTGTGTTAGGTTAGGTTCGTAGGAATAAGACATTAGGATAATGTATTTTCCATGCAAGAGGTAACGGAATAAATAAATTTCCGTGGAAGTAAGTTGAGTCCAACTCGACTCAGAGTTTCAAAATCAAACAGGTGCCTCGATAAATAATCTATCGTATCTTCTTAATGAATCGGTAGCATAGTTTAAATTCGTTCGATTTCTGAGAACTTAACCGTTTTAATGCGACAGATATAGCAGATGATATAAATACATATATCTAATGGTGACTGACAAGGAAATATCGGTACCCCGAATAATTATAAAAAATGTGTTATTTTTGATAAATATTATAAAAAATGGATGTTTTCCAAGGTATTTCTAGATGGTACACGGACAAATTATAAGGTACTAAAATGGTTAATAGCATATACTTATATGACGCTAAATTATAATACGTATTCGGATATTTCTACTTGCCACAAGTGGTGCATCTCGCTCATCGATCCGTTCAATGTATTGAGAGGCATCCCGCGCGCGCGTCTCCTGCGGCCGTTGCAACGTTTCGAGCACGTAGCGTTACAAATCGAATAACAAGAGGGACCATCCAGGAGGAGGGGGGATCATTGAAAGCCGCGACGAGCCGGTCGAGTGTCGCGAACAATTCTCGTTAAAGCGCGACCAACGGGGTCTTTAAAGGTTTCACGTAACGAGAGCCGATAACTTGGCCCGCCGCGAGGCAAACAGTCGTTTTCCAACAAAGCCAGACCGTCACACGTCGCGAAAACCAGGTATATAAACCCGAGAAGGTACGAGGAAGGAAGACGTCGAACGCACACGAGGACAGTTATTATTGTGCGTAGATAACTCCACGGGCGTTTTACAACCGGGCCGCTACTGGGGAAGATATTCGGTATAATCGTTAGAGATAACGTTCGAGGTACGCGAGGGACAAGTAACGAGCCGTCTATTATCGTTCTATTACCAGAAATCTAGAGCACGAAGTAATAACAACGTTATTTTTACCGAAGTCTGACAGCCTTGTCAGGATTAACAAGATCAGAACGCCCTGTATATAGATAAAAAAAAAAAAATGTTTCTTACTTGTTTCACAGAGCATACGAAGGGAACAGGAAAGAAATGTAGAAAATTCTCTGTAGACTTCGACGTGGCAGTTCACGAGTCATTGTCGAAAAGTAGTTCAAATTTACGCGGTAACGGGTACACACGCTGCGTTCGAAACGTGACTACGAAGTTCGATACCGGAGAGAAAACGAAGCAATTCACAACAATTGCCCGTTTTTTCTACAGTCCAGACGATCTGTTCACGGTTCGTTTCGTTTTCGAAAGTCACTTCACGAGAACGTCGGTCATTCGGTTTTCCGTCCTTGACAGTCGTCTGTCTCTGCCCGTTTCCTAACCTCACGACGGCCACGCGATAAGCCCGTATTATATGTTATTACCGTTAATGAGGTCGTTTAAAGTTCCTTCGCGTGGAATTAACCGCGAGACTAACGTCGAGAAGAAACAGAAATTGAGAAAAAATGGGTCGGTCGAGGATCCGACGAATTTGAAAACGCGTTGGATGTTGTGAATAAAATATGAGACCGCCTCGACATTTCACCGTTTCGCGCGTAATTAACGCAAGGGACGAAGAAAAGATAGTGGAATGCGCGCGCATGTTGGTGGTAACAATGAAGTTCTTCCGCGACCTCTCACATGTGGCGCCTAATTTAATTGGCGTATCGGTTGGAATGGTTACCGACCAAGCTGTCCGGAGAAGACTGTGTGCATTTACGTGTATGCCTCTCCGCGACAGGAGAAAGAAGAGAAAACAATAATTTAGAAACAATTATGCAGTCACGTTGAGTCATCTCGCACGTTCTACTTTCTAATCCGCGACAGCGAGATTATTATCTTGCCGTGAATCACCCGTGTGGTTATCTTATCTATGTATATGTTACTCGCGAACACGACCCCGAAAACAGTTCGGCCATCTTTTGGAAAATTCATGACACTACGCGTCACGATTCCATGTTATCGCGAATCTCACCGATAAGTGTTTTTTTCTTTTTTTTTTTTTTTTTTGGAAATGAAAACTATTGCTCAACCTACCACCAGTCGGCGAACCAGTGATAATTTCGAGTCAGCTGATGCAGAAAATCTCCGTCCCCGGTTGAAGGTTAATTCAATTCGCTCTCCTAAACACGCACACGTAACATCGGTTTAAATGCATAATTCGACTAACCGACGCACGAAAATAATCGTAGCAATCGTTAAATTAAGGGTGAACACTCCTCGAAAATGAATCGTTATCGTGTGAACTGTGCGTTAATTCTCAAGCATCGAACGTTCATTTATCAATGCGTCCCGTACGGTACAGGGGCAATTTCCCGAAATTCCTATACCCTGTATCGCAAGCAATGCAATTGCATCGTATTTAGATTAACCAGACGCAGATCGTTCGTGCATTTATATTTAATGTCAGTCGAACCGAATCCACGGATCGGTCCATTATCGTTCCGATACGATTCCGTGAATACCATCCCCGTAACGACCAACAATCGTAACTTTCACGCGTTTCGCTGTAATCTCGTTCACCACGAGCCTATTGTCCCTATAGAACGCCATACCGACTAGAAGAATCGTTCTGGCGATTATTCTGATTTGCCCTGTGCCAAAAAAAGGTCTACAAAATGCTACGTTTCGCTTGTATACCTAACCTCAACTCACTGAACGTTTCGTTTTGAAACTATATTAAATACTAATTGATAAAAGAACACGATTCTTCAGATCTAGTACCAAAATCAACAAAAAAAAAAAAATTTCTGGTGAATTCCAGATTTTGTATTTCCAAGACACCACTTTGAAAAATTTTAATTTCAAAGATTCTTATTTCCCAACGGATGCCTGTTTTTCACAGTTCGAATTGTATCCTAAACTTTGACTGTAATTTCTGTCAGAAGCGTAGTAAGTAAATATATTCTACGATCGTGGATTAGTGTCTCATGTATATCAGCCCTGTAAAAATTCTGCAAGAAAACATATTTCTGTTTGTCGAATGAGGTTATCCGGCGACTGCACGAGATCGAATCTCGGTACACGTGTCCTTGCAGGTCGAGCAACGCGTCTCGCCTTTAACCGGTCAACTCGCTCATCAACCTGAGGCGAACTTCACGGCGAACCTTTCACTCGTTTTATTAATCACCGCCGAAGTATGCCGTCTATTCTACAATCCTAACGAGCGAAAACCGGCTTTTCATTGTAAATTGAAATACCATTTGTAACGAAGGTTAGTCACGTGAACGGCGATTGGTATTCATCGGTACGTCCTTATTCCCGTAAGAGATTTTATTCCACGGTGTTTGATCGTACGTGTTTTCGAAGGAAGTTTCGACGGCAAAGGGGGGTCTCGCCCCCCTGTTGGTGGACCTTGGGAATACAGTAAAAGACGAGCAGGTGTGCCGCATTCCTTTAAACGGAACACTGACGTAGCCCCGGCGGAATAAGATTACTGGTTCCACGGGCAGCAAGAAAAACCAGACGGAATTCACGTCCGGTTCCATGCTGAATCGAACGCGGAACGTACTGTGGGTGGAACGAATACAACTTTATAAAAACACACAACGGTGTTATATTCTCGCCTTGCACTTTTTCAGAATGAGATATTAATAATTTAAGCACGAACCTAAATTGATCTAACATTCAGATTTGGCCATCCTAAATGAACTGTCAATAGCCAGAAATCGTGGAATCAGATTTGTAAGCGAAGTGCCCTAATTATAAGAGCTTATTCTCGTGAAACAAAATTTAAAAAAATTTGTTAACTATTTTGTTTGCTGACAGTCTATAAATGTGTACTAACATGTATAGGGTGATTAGTCCAACTGGACAACAGAAGATTACTTCTACACTATTAGCATCTATTGTAAATATCTAATTAAATATACACCTCAGACCGGCAATGCTTCGATATTTTTTACCAAATGTTTTATCCTCTTTTACCTTTCATTAAAAACATAGGTTATGTAGTGTAAAAAAACAAAAGGTAACCGTCAAAAGTTGATAATAGAAAAACAATATACTCATTACAACATGTGTCTACCTTGAAATTACACATCTTTTGTTCTACATATTTCTTCGAGCAAAGAATAATGTACAAGTGATATCTATTATAGTCATCAAGTTGGACGAATTACACTGTATCTATAACGAAAGGCCGAAACAAATGAGGTCTCTCTGTATCCGTCACTACTAATAGTTCGATGAATGATATTTATGGAACTCGTTTCCAAAATGTAATATACATGCAAATATCGCCCTACAGCGAAAAGATGAATTTATAGCTACATCGTAACAGATACGAAGCAATCGTTCAAAATTGATTTAAAACCCGACATAACAGAAAGAATGACTAAAAAATAAATATTTCTTCCGAGTTAATTTACCCTGAGCACAGTACGAGGGTAAAAAGACCTCTTGCACAGGTCAGAAGAAAGTCACTGTATTTCGTTCCACCCACCGAAATTTTGCACGGGGAGTCACAACACAGTAGCAGATCGTAAAACATTTTTGCCACGCGTTAAGGACACGTTCACGGGGGGGGGGGAAATATCCACGCATACACGTATCCAATGCAGCACCGTTAACTTGCACAGCACATGGTCGAGCATTGGTCGCGCGTGTCACTCGGCTTAAAAAGACATTTACCCAGATTTATCGTGGTCGGGTGAACGTCGGCCTCCGGCTCGGCCAACCGTGTTGCTGTATCAATTGACCGAAACAAAATCGTCGACTCGAGTCTCTCGGACGTGGCTGACTTTCGAAGCTTCACCACAGAAATTGGTTATTCGAGGCACACACTGTAGTTGCCGGTGCAAGAATTCGTTGCATGCGTAACAGTTCGCGATGCTCACTTGGAAGCTTTGCTCTGTGATCCCGGACACACGAAACGTAATCACGATTGTCGTCGTTATCTCGACTGCGAGACCCGGATACAGTCGAGACACGTCAACGAAATTCACAAGAGTTGGACACGGGTGGAAAGCAAGACGCGGACTGTAACACACACGAACGGATCACTTACCCCCGTGAGGCGCCAGGTGCGACTGAACACGAACGGTCAAAAAAACTTCTGAACAGACTTCACTCGGGACGACGCGACGAAGAGGCTCTCGCGGTCGCACGCGGACCGCTCCCGTGACTGCGTGCGACTGCTTTCCACCAGCGTACCGCTCGATTACCACGAATCCTCATTGAATACACACCTCTTATGACCTAGTAACGAGAACGCCTCCAGGTGCACATCCCGTACGTCGCACATACGTGTACATCCGACACTGCAGAGCCACTGAGCATCGCCGAGGTTAGGGCATCGAAGTGGGGACACCTGTTCGACATCCGTAGCAGCACTTTCTACGCTCGCCGATGATGGTCGTGCTCGGGCAGCCGCTTATCGATACCATCCACGATCACGCCGATATGCACAAGATATCGAGAGGCCCGTCGACTGCGTCGAGATTTATCGGACCCGAAACGACTGTTCTGCGGGGATCCCATTCACGGTCTACTCGGTCTCATTGATTCCACACTGGAGACTGTCACGCCACCCGTGGACGTCCGTTAAACTATCTGTCGATAACATGCGATCTGGCGTACGGTCGGTATGTACCGGTTGAACTCGTAATGTTATCGACGGTGAAATGGCCAAGTTGGTCAAAGAAATTTTAATTACATATAAACATTGTAAATATGTAATTGTTATTGGGACAAAGTCTATTTAAGGAAATATGAGAAATAATTTTATATGTATGTTGTTCGTTATCCACAGTTGAAGTTATGATTTGTAACAAACATGGAGAGAGTTGTAAAAAGCATAAGTAAACTTCACATAAATTTCAATGTAATTACAAATAAAATGCAGTAAATATTCGTTCGTTAAAGTGTATTTACAATTGTTGTTTCCTTTCCGTTTTCTATATTGGACTTCTTGAAAGTAAATGCCAAGCACGCGTATTTCAGAAGTTTACTCTTTAGAAATAAGTTACCAGAACTGGCTTCGTACACAGTATGATCGTGTATGTACCTATTCTGTAACATGAAAGGATAATAGTGAAACACTCTTTTACTTCAGTTTACGCTGTTTTTCATTAGGAAAGTTTGCAAGTTAAAATTTTCTACCATCTACTTCCAACAGCACAAAAAGGGGCAGTGTTTTCACGAATAAAAGCTTGAGAAGGAAAAAGGAGTACAGAAAAAGTAGCGCTGCTCCGTGAAGTTTGTTTTTTCTATCCCTCCCGCCGTACTTCTTTTTTTCAAACAAATTCCATGGCTGCGCGCAATGTGGTTGTAGAGTCAGTGTTTGTTGCGCCCGGTAATTTTCTTCTTTAAAGTAGCTGGTTTTTTTCTTATTAAGTAAGTACACGTAGAACTTTCGTTAATTTTATTTCCATTGCGATCATTCGTCGGGCCGGCAATGCAGAATCGCGAAACTGCACCACCGACGGAACTGGGGCAAATCGAATGCTCATCTCAACCACCGAAAACAGGTCCGAACACCTGAGAGGATAATGATTCCCGGGTGGTCAATTCTCCCAGAATTATTTAAAATAATTCACGTGACTTCGAATATATTTTAAATAAACTTTGCCCAACACTAAAGGCAATAAAAGTGACAATAATTGAGACGTACAATCGGATATACGTTTTATTGGTCCAGCTGTTCAACTACATAGAACTATTTATAAAACTTTACAAAATGCTCAACGTTTCGTAAATGGGGGATACCTTGCATGTATTTACAAGGTGAAGAAGTTACGAGTACCGTAAATGTTGGTTTACAAGAAGCTTTTTATGAATTGGTATATGTATATATATATATCTATACATATAATTGTATACATATCAGAGATTCTTCGAAATACATCTAATAGAGTTTCTCAAGGGGGGGGGGGGAGTCGATGTTGATGTGACTTTCCGTTTCGAAGTCTGTCGTGATTGTGCAAATACTTCCTGTAAAGCTCAGACTCCTTTCTCCTACGAAACGTGTAACACGTGTTTATACAACAGTTTGAAATCAACAGTCGGTCCGCCATTCCCGACATTAGTTCTCTCAATACCCTTCAACTTGACTACATTTCCGCCGGAAGTTCCACTAGTCATTCGATCTTTTCAACCGTTTACCCTCCATTTTACGTGCCATTCTTTTTTAAATTGTTCACTTACTCTTGACGAAACGGACCAGAAATATATTAACTCTTTACAAATAATTCACGTTTCTTTTAATAAAAATCCTGTTTCATTAACACGTTGACTGTCATGATCGGTCGAAAAACTTTCGATTTCTGAACAGTAATATCTGCAATGTTTGGAAACTGATCATTAGAATAATGATTCATGTAATAAATATTTGTAATAACAGAAACTTAAAAAGATGGATATTAGGGCAATAATTTGAACAGTCAACGTGTTAGATTACAATACGGATTTTTTCTACTATTGATTACAAGATTTTCGCGTTCTTCATTACCTGTCCACTGCTTCTGACGGAAACTCCCGAAGAATAATTAGCAAAGTGTGAACGATTAACCCTACAGGGAGTAAGTTTTGTTGGTTCGTAAGTGATTTGTTGCGCACACGGAGTTACATTGAAAAACATTTGATTTTTTGGTAACGATGTATGTGTGTCGAAGATATTCTGAGGTGTTCCATAAAAATTGACATTACACAAACCATTCACAAAATTCATTTTTACTAAGTACGTTTTGTCATTGGTACTAGACTGCGGACATTGTGCACATGTAGTGAACGCGATTGCACACACTGTACCGAAATAAAAATGCTAGGGTGTAACGCATTCTTTTGTGACTCTGGTTTTCCTTAAAATACTTCAAAAACTTGAAATTCGCAAAAACATCCGCAGTCTATTAATTGGATGAACATTCTATAAATTCAAATTTCTGCGTTATGAACGTCAAGTGTTACCAGACGTTCACTGGTTAAGACCGCAGACGCTATTTTTGTCTCGTGAACGATCAAAATTACATCAAGAATCGAATATAAAAAAAGTTTTTGGAAACTTAAGAAAATACTTCTAAAAGCAAGTTCTCCAAATTTTCTCATGTCCATTTTTAATTGAAATCATTCTTTGGCAACTAACGAGATAATTTTCGGGATAATTTGAACAATACAGCAGTGATTCAAGCAACAGCAAAGAGAAGCGAGTATAGAAACGACTAAAAATGTGAAATTTGTTTGCAAAGTTTTTTCAACCTTATACTCTCGCACAGTCTTCGATCCATGTTTTCGTCAGACACAAATTTCTTTCTTTCAAAAACCGTTCAGAAAGCTGCGTCTGTTTCGACGTGACGCTTCGCAATAAAATCTATCACGTAAAAACGACTTTCTGCGACGGATGGAACGATCCTCGCGTAGTTAACAGCCGTGTAAACCTAGAACACTTAATATTCAGGTACTAAGCATTTACCGTTTGATGACTGAGTTACCGTATCAAAGTCTTTGGATGATTCATTTACTCATCAATAGGAATAGAATGGTTTAACCTTTAATTGGTGCCCTCTTGTAAAAATATTCCTTTGTAGATTTATTCATGTTTTTTTCAGTGACAAATATTAAGATATTGAAGAAACTAGTAAGATTTAAATGAAAAGGTATTCCTGAATGTGAGGACTTTGAATCGATGTAGGATTCAAGATGGCGGACTTAGCGCCATTGAAATTTCTGCACTATAATTTGTTAATTGATGAACCATTATGAATCATCCAAATTCGAATGAAATAAAATTCAACCTTTCAGTGTTTCTTCGAAAGTTATCGTTTCTTAACATTTGATTAATGATTACCAGAGAATAAGAACTCCGAGTCAGTTTAGGAATCAAGATGGCTGACCTAGTGTCACTGAAGATTCTTCCATCTCATTCTTTCAGGCCAATACTACAATTGATTCGTTAACGAACTAACGTAAAATGAAATAAAATTGAACATTTCTGAGCTTTTCTAAAATACTCACTCGACGACACCAACCAAAGGTTAATATCGACTCTAGTGTTCAGTCGACTCACAGACGATATATGTTAATAGCGAGCTCTACCAGAATTCAGGTGAATTTTTAGTTAGTTAAGGGTAAAATACCTGTTGCAGGTTGGTATACAATTTCTCTTCGAAGCTTTCCGCGTCTATCTCTCTGGTCTCAGAAATTCGAAACGACGACTATCCCTCTAACAGGGACAACACGATTCGAATTCCGGATAGATTCGTACAGGTTACAGAAAATGTTCGTCGACGAGATGAGACCATTTCGACCGCGTAAACTGGTCATCCGTTGGTCTGATATTCGTTCATGAGTGTAATACGTGTACTTGTTCCTAAATTGTACTTACTTTCGAGGTTTTCTACTGTATCACTTAAACGTAAACGAACTTTCGAACTAGCGATTCGTGGTGGCGATCTTGGAGACCAGCTCCATTTCTCTATATATCATTCTCTGTAGAAACTTAACTCTCACCATGCTGTCGATCTCCTCTTTCAAATTGTTCTCTCCTCTTTCTTTAAGTGTCTAACAATGCGTGTTATTTCGTGAACACACATGGGAGGGAAGCATCGATCCATTGGGAAGGTAGTTGCGTCTACTAAGCGTACGAATAAATAATTCAAGTGTATCAACAATTGTCTAGCACATTCACTATTTTTTGTAAAGAAAAGTTGAAGAAGACAATTTCCTTTCAGACTATATATCACCACTTTTACTAAAACGAAATCTTGGAAGAATTAATCGAACGAATGATGAACAGATTGACACTTCCCTCGCAGTAATATGGTAACTAAGAAACCATTAACACGGATAATTACTTCCCTAACTTACTGTGACAATTTAATCGTAGATAGACTATAAATTCCATTTACGTACACACTAATACCATCGTCCTCGCCGTTCTGGCAAAGGCGATGATCATAAATCCTCTGCACGATACTTCCACAGTCGTTTGATTTTATGAGTCGTTTTGATTAACATGAGATACTCGCGTTAACAATGTCGTCTTTGTTAATACTTTATTTCGTCCGTATCCTCTCTTAACGCCTTCGTATTTGATATCTGTTCTGGCAACGTTCGAGTCTCTGTCGCGTAACGAGTTCCTTCTAATCTGAACTTCTTTAGAAGATATTGAATTCTGAGATCGGTATTGAATGTGAAAGTTACAAAAATAAATAAAACACAGGTTCCATGTCACTGTTACCATTGGCCTGTTAGGATTTCAATGTATACAAAATTTCTTCAATTCTGTATTCAGAGGGTAACGTGAATTAGGATCTGTAAAATTAAAAACAATTGTAATAAAGAACAATTTCAATGTTCCATGGAAACTATATAGTATCTTAACAGCACCGATCATTTATTTCCACCCACCTAATACGTCAAGTTCCTATTCATCGCGACATTTTGCTACTACTGGGCAACCCAGAAACTAACACAACAGCGCCATTATTGGGCAACCCAGAAACTAACACAACTTGCGAGTGGAATAATACAACTTGTTAATTCTGTTTCAATTAAAAACATCGTCTCAGAAGACAAAGGACCAAGAAAATTGAACGAACTCGTTGTCGAATGTGATCTAACTCTGTTCTGCCCGAATTTTCGTTCAGGTCACAGGCCTCAAACAATGCCATGACCAATAAACGGCGACTACGGTTGGCAACGCGAAATTTACCAGTAACGGGATGCAATCACCGTGATTCGATCGGTAATCTTATACGAGATGGGCTAGATAGCGTCGACACGCTCCTGTTTGATCGAATTTCCGTTGACGCGAGATTCCGATGCCAGTCACACCAGCGTTGAAGAGCTCTGAACGCCCCGTCCCGATAATGGCCCCCGTATTGTTCACGGATATTGCGTGTACGGAGGAACGGTCATGAACGACGAATTTTCCGATCGAGAGGTCATCATCGTCGGGCCATTCCTGGAAGAACTGCGACACGATCGATTCCACGACATTGTCTCCTGATGATTGAAATGTATTCACTGGTTTCACGTCCCTCGTATAATGCACTCGCTGAGGACATTCTGGTCTGGGGAACAGATCTCGTCATTATTTGAGTCATACATTTTGAGTAGTTCAGTACCCTATTCAGCGAATAATGTTGTGATAATTATGTGGTCTTACTATACGTTGTAACGTAAATCTATGAAATATAGTGAACAGACCGGAGATGTTTATGGAAACAGAGATCTTTCATTTTGTGATGTCACATGATCTCAAGTAATAACTAAAAATAGTATTCAAACGAATTGCCGCACTTATTTGGATCTTCCATAACCGCATACAATTTTATGTCTACCCATCATGTGCGAATCAGTGGTACTATCCCATTTCATCCCGCCTCTCAGAACCATTAAAACCGACTCCAGTCTAACCGCGACCCTAAACCTGAACTATGGCCCCACAAAAATTGCACCTATCCAAATTTGGCCGACCTGGCTCTAACCCAGAATCGTGGCTATTCGAAAATTTTCAGATCCCCGATTCTGAACTTCAATCATGGCTGACTAAAATTTACCCGAAATGATCCCAAACTCGAACCACGGCAGATTGACATTTGCCCGACCCGAAACAGGTCTTTGTTGACTTCAACCATGACCGATCCACATTTGCCTGACCCGACCCGGAACATGATTCGTGGTCGATATAAACTCGACCGACTCTACCCTAAACCAGAACCGTGTCCCCGCCTAAACGGCGCTCGAAATTCGAAACTGTTCCCGCAGTTCGATCGTCGACATCCTAGACGCTGGTGGTGATCTGCTCGATCACGGTGACGTCCCGATGACGCCTCGGTCGGTTTCTGTACGAGTTCTGGTGGCTCAACCCCTCGGGTACGCTTTTGCTGGGTCTGAGAGGCGGCCCGTAGAATTGCGGCTGGTAATAATTCTCGGCGGTGTGCATCCTATCCATGTCCCTCTCCCGTAAATTCTCGTCGATGTCCAACGGGACGTGGAGCGATTGGGACTTGGGCAGCCGTGGCCTCGGCGGCGGCGGATAGGTCCTAGGTGGCGGCACCGCCGTGGTGGAGAGATGCGAGTCGGGCAATATCGGGGACGACGGTTGTTGACCCGATCCGACCAGGAAGAGCAACGCTGCGCCGCACAAGGAACTTAACGTGCACGCGTAGTAACCCACTCTTGGGATGTACGCGTTCATGTAACCTGAAAGATCGCGGGAGTGTAGTTTGGAACTGTCCCTGGACCCTTTCGGTATGGAGGGTACGGTCGAGGGTACTACGGGGGTACGTGGGAGGGTACGATGAAGGTTACGATAGACGGCAGGGTAGAGAGTACGATGAAGGGTACGATAGAAGTACGATGGATGGTGCTATGAAGGGTAGGGTGGAGGGTAATATGGAGGGTACGGTGGAGGGTACGAGGTACTGATTTCGTTAATTTATGTTTCTTCAGATACCATTAGGTGCACTAATAAGTAACTCAATATTTCTTTTATTGTACGGTGACACATTTCAAATTAAAAGTATTTTCTCGATTTTAAATTGAAGATGATAGATTCATGACATCCATAGAAGTCAATACCGATTTCGTTAAGAAATCGTGCCAACTAATATATTCATTTACAGGGTGTTACAAAAAAAAGCTTCATAACAATCTAGGGTATCAACTCGTTAATTGATAAAACAAAATGTCCTTTTAAATATGGGTTGAAAGATTAATGTTTTTAAAGTTGTTAACAATTGTTTGTTCCGGTTATAGCGAGTGACTTTTGCGCTTTGGGAGCTATCGGTGCCGTATAGGAAGAATTAAGAAAATTATTAAAGATCCGATAAGAATTGTATAAAACTTCCTGTAACCAGAAAAAGAAGCAATGATAATTCATTGTTTCCATACAGTACGATAGTTCTCGAAGCGAGAAGATCACTCGTTTCAACCGGAAGAAAAAAATTGCTTATAACCTTGAAAATATTAATTTTTCGACCCATGTTTATTAGCACTTTAACCTTTTTTTTATTACCTTGTAGATTCCAAATTCGTATTTTTTGTGTGGTAATGAAACTTGTGTAGAGTGAATATTTTTATGACATCACACAAGCTTCTCTTATACATAAAGTTTTTTAGACTGTCGGACTCGATTTACATAGGTTTGCTACCGCGTAAAAGAACACCACGCGGAACGTACACATCGCGTACAAAAACTACGCGGGATCTGCAATCCACGTAAACTGAGGGACGTTTATACAGTATAAATACGCCCCGAGGCAACCGTGTGATTCAAAATTCACGAGATCGGACGATATTTTACGTACTCCGGTAAAGAAAGTAACATAGACAAGTCACAAACATTTCCGAAATGATCTGTGTCGAATACTCGATTTTGTGTCAAACCACTGTTGAAACCGTGAATTGTGTGTCAAACTACTGTTGACAATGTGAATTCTGTGTCAAACTACTGTTGAAATTGCCAATTCTTTGTAAAACTACTGTTGAAACTGTGAATTCTGCATGAAACTACGGTTGACAATCTGAATTCAGTGTCTAACGTCTCTTGAAACTATGAATTCTGTGTCAAACTACTGTTGAAACTGTGAATTCTGCATGAAACTACGGTTGACAATCTGAATTCAGTGTCTAACGTCTCTTGAAACTATGAATTCTGTGTCAAACTACTGTGGAAACCGTGAATTCTGCATGAAACTACTGTTGACAATGTGAATTCAGTGTCTAACGTCTCTTGAAACTATGAATTCTGTATCAAACTACTGTTGAAACCGTGAATTCTACATGAAACTACTGTTGACAATGTGAATTCAGTGTCTAACGTCTCTTGAAACTATGAATTCTGTATCAAACTACTGTTGAAACCGTGAATTCTGCATGAAACTACTGTTGACAATGTGAATTCAGTGTCTAACGTCTCTTGAAACTATGAATTATGTATCAAACTACTGTTGAAAATGTGAATTCTGTGTGAAACTACTGTTGACAATGTGAATTCAGTGTCTAACGTCTCTTGAAACTATGAATTCTGTATCAAACTACTGTTGATACCGTGAATTCTGCATGAAACTACTGTTGACAATGTGAATTCAGTGTCTAACGTCTCTTGAAACTATGAATTATGTATCAAACTACTGTTGAAAATGTGAATTCTGTGTGAAACTACTGTTGAAAATGTGAATTCTGTGTGAAACTACTGTTGAAAATATGAATTCTGTGTGAAACTACTGTTGAAAATATGAATTCTGTGTGAAACTACTGTTGAAAATATGAATTCTGTGTGAAACTACTGTTGAAAATATGAATTCTGTATCAAACTATTGTTGACAATGTGCATTCTGTGTCAAACTACTGTTGAAACTGTAAATTCTGTGTCAGAGTACAGAGTTACCAGTTAGAGGAACTCCGAGAAGGATAGGTAGAGCCTCCGCGGCCTGCACGAGAGCCCAGGCCCGCGCGAAGTGTCTCGCCCGTAGTCTTTCGAGGGCCAGCATTTTCAGAGAGTAAAGGGCGCCGCCCAGGGACGCGCCGTAGAGACCGGACGCCAGGACCAGTCCGTGGTAACCCTGTACACTGCCCAACGCTACCTGTGCGACGGCTTTAATAAAGGAAAAAAATGGACGAGAATTAGTTATGTTTCATTGTCACGAATATAGTAACTCTATGTGTCCTTATCTTCGAATCATTTATGACAAATAGGATCATTCTCTCTCTATAAAAGCTCGTATCAACAACTTTATTATAAACTATTTCTACCACCACCAAAATGGAGGTTCACTTATAAAATAAGATTTTCTGTCATCCACCCTTGCATTTAAATTCTACCTACACGAATACATTACTTATATCTAAACTCTACTTATCACCTATCTTTGGAGAATATTTATACTTTATTTCTTCCCCCCCCCCTATCTTACACCTTCCCTCTTCCTTTCCTTCAGTTTCCTTCCCTTTAACGCCCAGCCAATGAAATGGTTATTTAAAAATTACGAGACTGACATAAGTATATGTTGTACCACACCCAAAGAGGGAATACTATACTATTGTTCTTTAATGTACACCTTACTGTTCCGTTCCAAATTCTTTCTTCTCTTATTAACATCCCAGTACAAGGTCTCGTTACTGTTATTATTGTACGATAAATAAATGCTAAGAAATAACAATTCCAGGAATATCGCGTCGAACACGAATGTTCCAGAGCAAAGGGTACCGTCGCGGTACAAAATCGTCGTTCCTCTTTCGTCGAGTGGGGCGGACGTACCGCGCGAGTTCCCTGGTCATTTTTCAGCAGCGGTTGCACACCCTCACATAGAGCCACAAGCACGCTATTCACACAGCACAGTGTACAGTTCACTTGGTAATCCTCTTACAGTGCGCAGTCATTAGCGCGACCGGAAATAAAGCAACGAGAAACGGCGCCTCTGTAGCACGGCTAAGCCCTGATGGCTTGATCATGATACTCTCGGCGAGTACACCTGCTGGAAATTAATAATCGGGCCATGGACGTGAATTGTGGAAATTACGAAATGGTTCGCCTGTTTTCGTGCGTTTCATAGAAACTGTTCGTGATTGTTGTGCAAGGTATATATAGGCTGGACTGTTTAAACGGGATGGTTGAACGAAGGTAGGGAATAGGTCAAGCACAGAGTACGAGGTGACGATTGTTTTAGCGCGATCCCGATTTCCTTGTGAGTATGGAGGACTGAGCAAACGGGACGCGATAATGAGACGGCCGGAACGCCCGGGCGGACGGTGACGAATTTAAACGAGAGACGACGGTGTCGACACGAGAGGGAGGAATGACATGGAACGATGACGACTCATCCGTTAGAACTCGTCAGTCTTGACTGAGCAAGGCTAAACGATAAAGTGGAAAGTAGGTTTGGAAAAGCAAAAGGATGGCAGGTTTGGAAAAGCGAAAGGAAATCAGGTTTGGAAAAGCGAAAGGAAAGCAGGTTTGGAAAAGCGAAAGGAAAGAAGGTTTGGAAAAGTGAAAGGAAAGCAGGTTTGGAAAAGCAGGGATTGGAAAAGCAAGGTTGGAAAAGAGTTGGAAAAATAGGGTTGGAATAGCAAGGCGTGCAAAATAGGGTTGAAAAGCAAGGTTGGAAAAACAGAGTTAGAAAAACAGACTTGGAAAAATAGGGTTGGAAAAACAGGGTTGGAAAAGCTAGTTTAGGAAAGTAAGGTTGGAAAAGCTAGTTTAGAAAAGCAGCGTTGAAAAAGCAAAAGAAAAGCAGTAAATTTGTTCATATATGATCCTACTCTGTTTGTCTGTACACACACGGTCTGATTCTACTTATTTGTTCATATCCGATATCACTTTTTCATCAGTGCATTCCTACCTTCTATCTTCACAGTTCCCGTCAAGTAATTCCCCGACAATTTCCACGAGAACAGAATATCTCCCTTCTTCGCTACCAACAAACTGAAATTACATTTACCACCGTCACGAGAATCGTCAGCCTTCCACAAAACAAATTCCACCAGTCTTTCTCGAGTTTCTTTGCTCGATCTTGATACGACCGGATTTTACCAGACGTAAAAATAAAATAGTCGGAAATACGCCACATGCGTTCTCTGGTCCCATTAGAAAGACGAGGAGGAAATTGCAAATACTTTTTTTCCACCGGACGGTTTATCTCTCGCTGGCAAGCCACCACACATTCTATTTCATTCGGGGAACTCGATTCGTTCCGACACGCGGATAAGCCGGTTTTCGGGGATCTGACACCCTCCTCGGTTGTATATTTCAGGTCTCCGTTGTATATTTTGGCTCTTCGTTGTATATTTCGACTCTTGGCTTGTCGCGAGAAAGGGGAGGGTTCCCGTTTAGGAGGGGAAAGTTCAGCGGCTGATCAGGAGTTATGTTCGCCCGGGAAATTTCTCGCTGGGTCGCGTTTTGCATTTCAACTCGACGCCCCTTGCGGCTACGGACGTCCCGTTGTTATGGTGGCGTTGACGTGCTTGCGGTCAGACTCCTCTTCAATGGCCGAAAGCAAGCAGAAAACGTTTGATCTCGATTTGGATTATCGGTTGCGTGAAATTGAATCCGTTCTTGCACGTGAGCCCAATGGAAATTATAAGTTGTTGATTTATCAGGTGAAAAATGTGATTTTGAACAGGCTTGATCATGTTTGATCATACTTGACCTTGCCTGGCCATGCTTGACCCTGTTTGACCATTATTGATCATACTCAATACAGTTTTGTATCATGTTCGACCTTGCTTGACCACGATGAACCGGCGTTGACCCTGATTGCCCATGCTTGATACAGTTTTGTACCATGCTTGACCCTGTTTGACCATGCTTGACTCTGTTTGACCATGTTTGACACAGCTCTGTACCATATTTTGCACAGGTTGGTATCATCCTTGACACATGCTTGACTATTTTTTGGTCAGAGGAATGTATCGAAGCGTCTTTACCTTGGATAATTTGTTTTAAAAGAAGCTAGAAATTAGTAATCCTGTGTGATTGTTTGAAAAAAGGTCGTGCCCCGATTACGATCAATATTTATGTTTCTGTTTCTTTTCTAGTAATCCTTTAATAAAATTTATAGAGTGCACTAGTGACATACTGTACTGTTTTTATGGAATCGAAGCTGATTTTGAAAAATCGACTCACAGTCGAATATGGTAAAACGTGTTAATTAACAGGGTGCAATTGATCCAAAAATCGTTTTCAAATTCTTCCTTACGTCACACTTCCGACGCAACCAATCCGACAGTGAATTCACGGTTGATAAAAGGTGTGTCAACAGTTAGATTTAAATATCTCTCCCCTCGGCGTAAAATCCACCCTTACTCCTCGTCGAAAGCGACTTCAATTCCAACAAAGGGGAATGAAAATTTCACGCTCGACCGCAGGTAAAATATTCCAGGCACTTCAAACACCCCCTCGATCGGTCGGACCGTCGCAAATTTCGGTCTCCCTTGGAGATATATATCTGGTGGTCAGTACGTCAACGAGAGAAATCTACCCAAGGGGATGAAATAACAACGACGCCTGGGACGTTTTAGAAAAATATACAGTGACCCCCACAGATTCCAGCAACGAAGCCCTCATATTTATTTGACCACATTACGCATGGAATCTCAAATGTTATATTCAAATTCACACACTTGTCACAAATGTGTACATTTAATTTTTCTTTCGTTCAAGCATCATTCCAAAATTTTAATTAAACCTTCACTAGAAAATTCTCCAACAAAACACGGTATTCCACGAATTCATTGTTGTTAATATTTATGAATATATTTTATTTAAGTCCACCGGAAAATTAAAAAGAGAAATATTTTTTCAAGCCTTAAAAAATTAGTCCCTGAAGAGGTTTATTTTAATTCACATATCGTGAACGAAGAAGAAGTAAAGATTCTGTATATTAACACTGTATAAGCACACAGTGGCCAACAGGAATAAAGATTGCTTTCTGTGGAATATTTCTTAAGTGGAAAAATTATCACGTGCACACAGTGCATTATAGTAGGTAATTACGTAAATTATGCATTATAGTAGGTAATTACGTCGTAGTGTTTTAGATGTACTATAAGCCTGGTTTTGAGTTTTTGAAAAATGTCAATTATTTTTCCAGATATCGTTCCAACGCTCTTGTGAAACAGATTGTATACGAGTCACTGATATTTCGGTACTCGACAAAGAAGGAACCACAGCTTGGCCAGTCAGGTGTTGTGCTTTTCTACCAAAAGTTCGTCGGCCTGACGTTTCTAAACGTAGACCCTCATTCAGCTCTTGGGGTAGACTCTCCCCCTCCCATTTCCCTTACCCAAGGGGGGGCTCTATCACCCTTTTGAAGCCGGCGAGGCTCTCTTCGAGTGTGTCGGCCGCATGCACGCGTCTTTGCCCTCTCATTCAGTCGGCTTACCCTCCGCTCGATTCCCGCCGACACAAAGTATTTTCCATTCTGTCCCGAGTCACCAACCCTCTACCCCTTGTCCCACACCCCAGAGATTCTTCCTTTCTCTCTCTTTCGCCTCGGTTCTTTGCTTTGGTCACAGGAGGCGAATATCGCAAAGAGGAACGGTGGAATCGTTAATGGGGGGTCTGTGGACCGAGGGACGGTTTTAAAACGCTGCCAGTGGAGAGACTAGGAGCAGGACTTCATTACGAACGGCCCATTTGGGTGGTTCCTTGGTGGATTGTGGTTTTTCGTGTTTTTCGGTTGACATTCGTGATTGTACGGTTTTGGATGATAAATGTACAGGATATTATCCTCGAACCACCATTTTTCAGGCATTTTGCGATAATCTGACGAAAAAATGTTTTCAACTCAAGTTAGTCAACCGACGGTTTGCTACAGATATGAATATTAAAGAATACATGAGTCGTAGCTGACATCAAGACGAATTCAACGACCTAGTCTAATATGACTATCACTAATATCGACCTAAAATTTAGGTTCGATAAATAGAAACGTTAATATGGCAAATTATTTTCATTCAATTGAATTACAAATTTTGAAATAATTCCTGAAATTGACTAATGAAAAACAAGGGACAAGTGAATAATTCGTCGCGTAAATCTGTAACGCAGTAAACGGTCGAGAAGAATATATTTTTTTATTTTGGGCAAAGAAAAACGTGGATTGATCCTGTTCCGGTGTCTTGTCTGAGCACAGATAGGGTTATATCACTTGTTGCGTTTGGCCGGAACTGGGTTGTCCGTGGAGAGACTGTAGTAGTTTAACGTAGAGACATTTCGCTTTGCATATGATTCTCATTTTAGTTGTTTGAATACATTCGAATTATTGTCTTTTCTGATTAGATATGGTCCTGTACTACTTGACAGGTGACAGAGACGATATTCTTTTTACTTGGATACGGGACAGATTGTTCTGCTCTACTTGTTCGCTATGTATGACACTATTGTGCTTGCCTGTCTGTATACGAACTCGTTCTACTTATCTGTACCTCGTACCAGTATGGTTCACATACGTTTCATTTTCTATGTACCTACGTATTTCAGTGTATTGACTTCCCCATGTTCCTTGCTTATGTGGACATCGACCTGTGTGTTTTACATAGATGGTTCTATTTTATCTAACTTGTATACCGACCATTTCAGTTTCGTTTACATGGTACAAATATTTTGTTGTTGTCTTACGTAATAATTGTTTGCCTGACGTATGATCAAAATCAACGTGTCCTGCGTATAACCTATTCCGCTTCTATATATAGGGTGTCTTTTTGGAAAACTGTTTCGCCTATTCTATCATACTTGTCTGTCTAGATACAAACATATTTCACTTGTCCCACTTGCTCATTTATTCATCTCTCCATTTCATCAACTTCTCTAATATCTGTATCATTAAAAAGGATATTTAATTGGTTTATTAATTTCCAAAATATATCAAGTTTCCGGACCTTAACACACCACTTAACCATTTTTTCAAAAAAAGTGAACCTATCATTTATTAACGGTGAATAATTGACTACGTCCAGAGAATAAAATCTCAAATTTTCTTTTGACACGATATCATTGAATATTATTTAACATAAAAATTTCTTAGTATAAGTGCCTAATACCCCGAACATTTCAGACTGATCGGTACATTTGTTCAGCAGTTACGACTATAACTATGACTGAACTTATCATCTCTTAACAGACTACAGTTCCTTCGGTGTTGACCATTGGACCTATCGATCCTCCTAAATTGCAGCCGGTAGGCAATGCGTTAATAGATAAAGCACTATGACAGGTTGCATACTGACCGACTCCTAAGAGCGCCGCTTGACAGAGATACTGCCTGGACACCAGACACTGAGCAGATGGCCGAGCAGTAACAACGCCCCAAGCCGCGCAACCGAGGGCCGCTGCCAACCCGAGACAAGTCTGCAGTAGCACTACAGCGCTGGCCTCCAAGCCATCCTCGTGCCCGTGTACAGCCTGAAACCGATACCGCTCATTAGGAGATTGCAACGGTGAAACGGCCGCCCAGGTAACCAGCACCACCGGCCGTCAGACTGGTTCCTATCGTTATAGGAATCTCTATCTCGTATACCCACTCACAAGCAAACTCCGCTTCAGCTACGGGGAAAAAGCAACGTGGGAGATGAACCTCCGACCACTAGGTAAATTTATTTTGAGTACTGAAACGAATAGTTAAACTGAATGTTAATTTGGCATAAAGGGTATGTAGCAGGATAAGGTGGTCAAAAGTGCCCTTAGACCAATTTGACGATATACCATTCGATCGCTTGTTAAGAAGAAACAGTTTGTGCCAAGTTTCAACCCTTCATCTCGACCACGAGGGTAGTAATAGAGAAAATTCGGATTATTGGATTTACCTCGGATTTTCCTGTTTAATAGCGTGCAACAATTCTGTAAAAAATCGGATAGATAAAATTTGCCAGGGCACGCGTTGGAGAATTTTTGACGATTTTTTAGGTGAATATTTTAGTTGTGAAAAAGCAAAGATACGGAAAAATGGTGTGAACAGTTTTCATTCTCACTTGTTCGAAACGTAGACACCCCCACCCCCCGGGTTAACTTCCCTTGGATGGGTTCAATGTGAAAGTTCCTGAGGTTATACGGAGTGAATTTGAACCCGGGCCGAATCGTCCGCCACGATTATGAGAGTGTAAACCCGGCTAACTTTCGGTGAAACTTCGCTCGACAAATCGAGTTCGAAACTACAGTCACGTGGCTGATCGGCGGGCGCACGTGTGTGCTTGTGGCAGTTCTGTAATCGTGGCCCTGGGATACACACTGCTACTACAGTGAAGTGTTCGAGAAGCGAAATTATATCTGTTACGCGAAATGATATCGATCTGATATACCGTAAATCATCGACGAGTGTTATGTTAAGTTGTTATAACTTTGTCCGATATTGTACACTTTCAAAGTTTCCGTCAGTCCTCGTATTCCATAATGCTCTGCTTGTCTGACATATCATGATAATGTACTACATGTCTGACATACCGTGACGATGTACTACTTGCCTGATATATCATCGCAGTGTACCACTTGTTTCACATACCATGATGACGTACTACTTGTCTGACATATGATAATAACATACTACTTATCTGACCCTTTATGAACATGCCCCACTTTCCCGTCCAATCACTGACCTAACCCACGCGTCTGACCAGTTAGCGACCCATTTCACTTTTCTGACCGACGACTGATCTACGCTATTGGATTTTGGTCGTTCGAATAATAATCCTTGTATCATAAATGTACTCACGATGTAGAAAGCAGGAGTATAAAGGCCGAAACCAGCGGCTCCCGCAGCCAGCATCAACATCCTGACGGGACGACTTCCCAGCGGGCTTAGATCCACCCAGGGCTGCTTAGGCGGCACCTTGGTTCTCTTCTCTTTCACTTTGCCCCGCTGATTCTTCAGGTGCAGCATTGCCCGCCGTTGAGGGTGATAGATGGAGGCACTCTTGTAAATCAAGCCCAGGAAGAAAGCCAACGAGAGAGCTCCAGTTACCGACTGCATCCCCCGTTTCCAGCCCAGCTTTCTGAGAAAACATCGTGAACGTTACGACCTGGGGAAAGGGAATTGCCCTTAAATTTTGTCATACAACTTTTCTCCTCCGTATCAAAACGCTACCCCATCGATTTCGTACCACATCGATATAAACACAAGGATTCAGTCGATACGTTTCGGTGGATTCACCCGCGAGTTCGATTTTCATCGTGCAGAAGGTCGTAAATGTTTTCAATGTCAATGTTCAGCCTATTATATTCGAGTGCTTCTTTTCTATTAACTTCGCACAATATTTACGAACAGTATTTTATGCATTACTTGTCATTCTTTGAAGATAAGAGCACAGGTGTTCTTGTTCTTATGCATTATGTTTTATTCATTATACCAAACTCCTGAATATTGAACTTGAATGTGCACACACGAAAAAAAAAAAATAATTTTTCGAGAATCTATTGTACAAGAAAGGTAGTCCTAGTTTAAGATGTTCTAGGTTGTGGATTCGAGGGAGTCCCGCTTGAAAATTCCAGGATCAACTGATGGGAAACACGTGACTGTTGGAACGTGCTCGATTGAGCGTTCCTCGCGTGGCTGTAAGCAAAATTGATTTGATTTTTTTGGTTTTGCCGCGGGACAAGAACGACGATGCCGTTCCTGAGAATCCGAAGCGTCTGTTCCATCGAGATGAAATTAGATTCCTCGCGACGAGTCCGCCAGCGTGTGCTCTGTTTGCCGACTGGGAAGTTCTCGTCGAGGGGGGTCAAAGCGACCGCAAAGTTCATAACGCGAGCGCGGCATGAAACACGAGCCAGAGGTTTCTACAGGTTTGAGAGGCCAAGGAAATACTACAGTCGGAAGCCATTCACGGTCTTGTTTCGAACGGCTTTAAAGTTCATGCAACCGAATCGTCTGTCGTTCTCCCGAAATGACGGAGTATCATCTTTATTCCAAGCCGCGAATGTCTATCATAGAGCTGCTCGTTGATTGTTTCACTAAAAATTAGGTGGTGCACAATACATAATTGCAGTGACTCAGATATTTAATTTTATGATTAATTTTGTACTCCTTGTCTGGCTATAGTCATGGTGGTTCTCCTTACTCGGTCAAAAGCATAATCTTCTTTTTTCAGAATACTTAGGGTCGTACTCCTTGTCTGGCCAAAGACCTAATTTCTTTGTCCCAGAAAAATCACGACCGTACTCCTTGTCGGGCTAAAATCATGGTCGTACACCTTGTCTATGTAAAGTCACGGTCATACTCTTTACCTGACAAAAAGCACAACGCCCATGTCTGACTAAAATCATGGTCGTTCTCCTTGTCCGGCCATGAGCATGCTTACTCTCCTTTTCTGGATAATATGATGTTTATCTGACCTACCATCATCCAAGTCCACTCACCCGTCCAAACACTTAACCCTGATCCGTCCCTTGTGTCAATTTGACACAATTTTCTCCGAAGATTTTTACTTTAAAGAATTTGCACATTTAACTATTTATCACTTCATTGTATTAATTTTTTACCATTGGATCAATTTGACACCGAGGGATAAATGAAGTTGGGAAAATGAGGGACAGATGAGGGTTAAACTTACAAAAAAAAAATGAACCCACGGACATCTTTTACTCTGTTTCTAGACTTTCCCAAGAGGTACCGATGCTCCGATTTTGAGACCGAGCAAATACTCACTCTGTAACGATAACTCCGCCTCCATTCGTCTCGTACCAGTAGCCTCGCGAGGAACGTTTATTACGTTCTTCGCCCACTCTGTCGTGTCGAAAATACACAACGCCATGACGTCGTCTCTCGGGAATGTGTACACTTTCTTTACGAAGCTCGTCTTACGTAAGCAACACCCCGTGTATATTACGGCACGATAAATAACCAGGTGACGAGGATTACGATTGTCGCGTAACGGCGAACAGTATATCACGCGGGTAACACGTGTCGCATTAATACCGTACTTATACTACTGGCCAATGTCGTTCTGCCGCGTACACAGAGCAGTACTAGCCCGGTAGTTAATGGTTTTATTGTTTCTGTCGCGGAACGCGATTAAATTCCACGCCCTCCTCCTGTTACACCTTCCAACACGAGTCACCCCTCTAACATGGGAGGTCTTTTTCCGTATTTTTTTTTTTACGAGGAGTTTCAACGTTATTGGAGGGACGGGAACAAACTTGACGAGCATACCATACGAAAGCATTCCCATGAATTTCTGAAAATTTCACGAATCCTCGCCCGACTTGTTAACCGCTCGTACATTTTCACGGGCACTATTACATATCATGCAACCTTATATTCATGTCAACGCTAATCAGGAACTTATTCCATTTTCTTCTTGACCCTTTATAGTAATGGTAGGCTTCCGAAGCTACTTTGTACGGATCTCGAAACAATATTGGGTTTCACTGCCAGTTTTTCTAAACTTTGAAATAAAATTTCCAGCTTGGTAAGCGATTTGGTCAACAAACGTGACAATCTTTCCGTGAACAAACTTGTGAGTCACTGTAGACCAGTGTGATTTTCTTGTCCGTGACGATATTTCTTTGGTCTAATTTAATTTTTTATCGTGTTCTATAACCTCTCTTTGGAAACTCTGCCTGAAATATCGGAGTAACCATAAAATCTCTAAAAATAGTAAACTCATTTTTAATTTATATTCAGAGACCGATATTTGTTGATGTCACGTTACATACATTTTCTTACGTTATCGAAAGAGAAACAGTAAATACACCAGTCACACGGTTCTTTTTCTCGATTCATTTTGTAAAACTTAAACGAAGTTACCAGGACCCGCGAAGTCAATGCGATTGTCTCGATAATTGATTGATGGAACCACGTCGGTGTCCGTTTGATTGATGGCATCACGGAATACCACCCCCTAAAATAAAAAAATTCAATCGTTCCGACGTTCGGTTACTCGGATACAGTTTCAGATACGAAACACACCGATTAATGCACTTTCTTTTTTTTGTTTTTTACCTTTTCAATACACCAGGTTACCGAGATAACTGGTCCTGTGTGTATGTGTGTCTGTCAGATTTATCGGGTGCGTGGGACGACGACCACGGAAACGGTTACCGTGAAAAATCACGTGGGCGTGTTCCCCTGGTAACGCCGGGGCGTACGTGGGCGAAAGGATCCACGCGCGTGTTACGCAGCAGAACTCCTACGTACTCGGGGCTCTCTCCCCGATATCAACCACCACCGTTTCTCTCTCTCTCGCAACCTACATCTAGCCGGGCACAACTGCCGTGTCAAGAGTTTCCCGTGAGGACTTCCGCCCCGAGACGTTTCGAAGGAAGAATGTTCCGTTGAAAACGGTGTAATCGTCTGGAGGAAATAAATTTTTTAAATTCCGTTCTCTCGTGCCGTTTTTCGCCGAAGTTCGAAAACGGACTTGGCGGTCTCTATATTGAGTTAATCCACTTGGCGGTATAAATATTGAGTTACTCCACTTGGCGCTATATGTTTGAGTTATTCCAGTTAATGGTTTAAATATTGAGTTATTTCACTTGATGATATATATATATATATATATATATATATATATATATATATATATATATATATCGAGTTCTTCTACTTGGTGATACACTTTGAGAGATACTGCTTCTATTATTAAATACTATCCCGATGGGATTTTGCTACACATCATAGTGAGATATAGTATTGTACTTCCATTATGATATTCTATCCAACAAGATTTTCTTTCGCACTGTACTGAGCTATATACTAAATGCATAACTGTCCACCAGTCATCCACCTCTGCAATTATAATACACTGCAACAGAATGTTCGCTTCATTTTTACTTCCACACAAACTATTCCGCAAGATTCAAAATATCAGATAAATATCCATCAACCTAGAAATTATTCCATAAAATTCTGACTTTATATGAACGTCCACAAAACCGAACTAATTTACGAGAAAATTTTACGTATTGTTAAACGACCGACTAACAGAAACCTACTGGAAACCCCACGGTGAAAATTACTTAGAACCGTCATTCCGTGTGGAACGAATTCAACATGTGTTTCAGCTAAATAGAAATCTCTCTGTCTGCCTGACAGGCCAACAAGCACACTCCCCCCTTGTCTGGCTACACACAGACCCGTTCTACTGTTCCCCAACCGCACCTTATATTACATTTGTCTGTCAACGCGACCCCGTTTCATCCAGCGCAACCGATCTGTTCATTTTCGTTCTGAGACGTGCGGTGTGTCGTGTATTCATTCTCACGGCCGGTTAAAACATCGCCGCGCGTTTTATAATGAAACGGGAGCCTCTGCTCGCGTCGGTTCCAATTGGTGGTGGGCGTCGCGAAACGAGTAAATTAGATAAACTGAAACTCAATCGTTAGCGAAGGGGTGGCGGGTGGGGTGAAAGGCTCATGTTACGCAGTGGAGTTTGTAGCCCACGTCGTTTCCCCTGCGTTAGGAAATTAGGAAGAATGGAATTGAATCGTCGACGTGGGGATGGCGCACGCAACCGACCGGTATTCAGGCGAATTCGGACTGGCTCGTTGTCAGAATATTTACGAAATCAGAGGGGGTGTGGTGGGGGGAGGAATGAAATTGGATCGTTAGGGGGCGAATTCTATTATGCTGGGGAACACGGAATCACTGTTATTGCCCCTGGAAACATCTCGGAAAAATAGAGGGAAAAAATACGGATGTTCATGATCGTGCTTTGTGAACGGACTTATACAGGGTGTTATGCTGATTACAACACTAATTAAGAATAATTCAAACTAGACATAGTTTTATTTCCGATACGAGGGATTTTAGAGTGTTTATCATAATAATACGCTAATGTGGTTAAGCTTCATTGAAATCTCTATTCTATACGGTTTGGAGGACAGATGACTCTATAAATGCATGAATGGCCACCGACTATTCGTAATTATATACGGAGTGTTTCCGATATCGTCGGACAATCAGAATCGGGATGTGATTCTATATGGAAAAATCAGTCGAAAATGTGCAATAATATTTTGTCGTTAGATGCTTCGTTTTTGAGAAAGGTGAAGTTGAGAATCGGTTGGATTGAAAGGAATCCATGAGATCGATGGAAATATTTCTGACTGACTACCCAAAGTCTCTGTGTCTCGATCATTTTCCTTCGAAAGAACAGAGTGCCCGAGTGTATTGCACCTGCAATGCAGTAGATCCGCGGCAAACCGTGGATCAGCTGTCTAGAAGTCGGCAAGAGCATTAGTCTCCCTCTAAACAGGTGAAATAACACTTGATCTCTGACAATTATTAAAACATCACAGCTCCAAGAACGTTTCATATTATTAAATTGCATTCTTTCGTACAATATATTCAACTATCCCTATGAACATATAATTGTAGAAATATTTATACTGAGAAACAACAGGCGCAACATGAAATCATATAGGCTGTGAGTGATCTTCAATCATATTCGTACGATGTCACGAGGAACCCTCTGATAAATCTGACTATAGACTATTTTGTACACATACAATTTTAATTTGTCATTTATCACACAATTGCATCACGAATGAATAATACTTTCTGGGCAATAAAAATTGAGGGGCAACAAAATACGCGCTTGACAGGTTCCACGCCAACACCTCCCAGTGGTGGGAATAACGCCTGGACAATAATCGTGTAGAACAAGTCAGACGATAATCGAGATGAGTCTGTATTCTTTTAGTTATATACCCCAGTGTGAAACACCTTCTTTGTTCACAGGCTGCACATAAATCCTTGTAACTATGATATTTACGGATTTGTCGTGGAAATAAACGTTTTTTTACTCACTTTAACACTAGAACTACCAAACAAATCAAAATGACTTGTCAGCATACTCCTATAACAATGATTAAAATATTATACCAATACATATTCTAAGATCTCTGGAACTTTTATTACGATATGAAAGTGAAGAGATTAGTTAATGTATAAGTTTGTAAATTTTCAACAGTTTGACATGTTTATCATCGGTAGTTCTAATGTTAATTGTACAATAAAGTTATCCTCAAAATTTCAAAGAGATTGGGTTTACTAATTTCTTCGCAATAAATTCCCCGAAATTCGTTCATTTCTAGCTGTTTACACTAGACTGCCTCCCCCTCAAGTGAAACGGTCGAGACAGTCGAAAAAACGCCTATCGGAGCGTGTTTCCCAACGGACAAACCGCGGACGTTACATACACGCGCGCACACGGTGGTGTAAACTTACCCGACAGCCTCCCTGTAGAAGACGCTGAAGAGCACTATTCCCACGCCAGCGCCAGACTGCACGACCATCTCGACGAACTCTCGTCGTTTCCTGAAGTAATGGCCCAGCACCACGCCGGCGGTTTCCCTGACGAGGCCCGCGCCGGTACCCAACACCAGACCATAGCTGTTACATTTTGCACCGTTGAGAGATCGTTTTGGTTTCAACAGAGGGGCGAAGGGGTGGGGGGGGGGGGCGATACGAATGTTTTCTCCCGACAGGTGCGACGGTCCCGCGAGCAAGGGAGTTTTGGGTAATGCTGGAACGCAGTGGGAACCGTTTCTCGAGAAATCGGAGACCCGACATTAATTATTCATTTGGTAGATAGTTGGACGGTGTTTGTCGTGAATATATCGGGTATGAGTGGCGAATAATTTCTCGAATAAACATTGAGAATTTATCGGGGGATGATTCACCCTGTGGCGGTAAAATATGTTAAGTAGACAGTTAATAAATTATTATAGATTAATTAATGAGTTCAATGCAAGAGGGAGGGTATGTCAGAAAATGTAGAAAATGAGATTTTTATTGATTCTGGTAACTCTTGGTGTTTAGTTAGTATCTCCTAAACAATAATTATATGATGAATCAATTAGGAGTATTGATATACTGTCGATTGCATCAGAAAACGTTTTAATAAATTATGTAGCATTTTAACGGATGCATCGGATGGATACAATTTGATTTTTTTATATCTTATTTCCTTTTCAAATATCAAGGTGATCTTGAGTTTTTGTTGGGGCATAGGCTCCCTTGTGCACTGGACCCTTCAATTTACAAGAAAAAAATTGCAACTCTCTTTTTAAAAGTACATCAAATTCTATCGTTGGTTAATATTCAACTAAATCCGTAGTTTCATTGATATGACGCAGATCTTGAAGTGTTCAGTCGAGAAATTCAACTATTCCCTTCAAAAATAAATAAAAATAAAAAAAAAGGGAAAAAAATGGCTCCCAGACACAAAACTTCACATTGATCGCTTGCTGCGTTTTCACACGAACAGTCACGTTCGCCTGTTCGATTATACTATACGAATGGATACTCTATTTCTGTACAGTACGAAGTTTACCACGAAATTAATCGGAAGCCGCTTGACCAACTACTTATTCTTCTCTAGACCGAGCGCGCCAGGGGTCCACGGGGCGCAGAGCGTGCGGTCAGTACATCTGCAACGAAGACTGATCATCTTCGATTTCGCCTCCTGGGAGCTTCCGTATTTCACCGTCGAAAGCCCCTTAGTTTCTCTGGTCGAGAGGGCGTGCGCCCGTCTCACCGCGGTCCTTGTTTGTTATGCTCGTCATTTTTCATCGTGTCGTCGACTCTGTTTGCGAAATAAATTGCCGGACGAGCCTTTGGTTCTCGCCAACGGTCGCTCCGAACCCACCGTTTCTCCCTTCTACTGGCACGTGAACACGGCTCGTAAAAACCGTGGCCCGTTAATTTGTCTTGCGTTCAGACGCGAACGATGAATGCACAAACCCCCGCCTGCCTTAATTGCTCCAGCGAAAATGAATTCACGTCAGCCGTCCCTAAAGGATTCGTCGTCGACCGTTTTTGGTGAAACACCATCTGGACGTGGATTAATCCGCGAGACAATTGCTTGGGTTCGTGGGACACACCTTTTGAGTCCACGCAGGGAATGAGAATGAATGGTAGCGTTATTCGAGAACGAGTTTTTCTATCACTGTGACAGTCAATTATTTTTTTCATGGGGTAATATGCATCGTGTAGGTGTCACAATTGCTTCGAAGTGACAGTTTTCGTTGGTTGCACTGTTATCATTGACCTATTCTGCTTGCTTGATAACGAAGGGTTTTGCGGGGTTCGTCTGAACAGTTTCCCAATTTTGGATTTTATAACTTGTCTGACCAGCGGTGGGTTATACTACTTGCATGTTCAAGGACGGTTAAAGATGACCAATCTTATTTTTAAGTCGAGAAACGGTTCCAATTGAACTTCTGTAACAACTCCTTGATTCCCTTTGTTATACTGATTAATATTCTACTACTTGACCACCAGGTCTCCCTAGCATGAAATTTATGGGGGTCTACATTAAGAACTTTATGTCGAACTGTTTCCGATCCGATCAGACGAAAACTTCTCACTCACCTGAGTAGCACCTGGTGTAACTCAACGGCGAACGAGGTGACCAGGGACGCCAATGCCAGCACAAGACCGCCAATCACTGCCGTAAGCCTTGTATTTCCGCGGCGACACGCGCACACGACCAGCGGAGCCGAACCACGGGAGACCGCAGCACTCAGCGCTCCAGCCCACGCTAAAACGTTAATTCGGTAGTTACTACGGGGCACGTAGACTAATGTCCCATTGGCTACGAACAGAAATATCCGTTTTCGTGTTTCTTTAGCGATAAATGTCTACTCTAACTAGTTTCTGACTTATGAATATGTCATTTTGTCGTTTGTCGACGAGGAGGTTATGTGAACGATCATTGCTGGATCTTTTAAGATTTATATATTTTAAATTATCAGTGGTCGATTTTTTAAGATTTAAACCTTTTGAGTAATAAACCTTGGATTTTTAAAAATCTATATTATTAAAACGACCATTAAACAATATTATAATGCACCGTAAAGAAGCACGTTATTCAAAAATAAATGTTCACGTAGAAATGATGGATGCGTCCTAGGGATAATGTTTACTTTAACACAAACTATAACTCTTTAACAATGTAATACATTTTACAATGTAAACCATGTAACACGGTCAGTAACCGAAACACCAGCTCTTTTTATACCTACATTTCTGTTACACGACACATCCAATTACTACACACACGTTTACAAGTACACAAACACCTTATCCCAGTAAATTTTTCTAAAAATTTAATACCGTTCTCAACGAGCGCGTGCCACAGCGTCCCTGAAAGAGGTCTTTCCCCCTTCTTTCCTTCAATTTCCCCCTCCACCGTTTATCTCGTAAAGCTTAACTAGCAGAAACACGGTCCTCTAGCCGTTGCAATCTCAGCCCGAAGTATCTTTCACAATTTATTTCCTTATTGAAATTGCAGTGGGTCGCGACACGCTTCCACGCGCGTCAGGATCCAACACGGCGGAGTGGATATATACCCGAGGGCGATGCTCGTTTCATACGTGAGCTCCTCCGTTGACGTTCTAACGAAATGCTACGACGACTTTGACGGTGCTGTGAGTGCACGATCGTAAAGTGACGCGAATCATCGAACGAATAGAAAAAAAAATACACCGAATAAACATGAAATGTTGGGTCGAACGTTTTATTCTAAATAAATTCCACTGTACTGTGTGAGAGAAGGCGATTTACAAAAAAAAGTCGCGTTAACTGCTCGCTGGATAAGTAAAAATAAAAGAAGATAGAATCTGTGGGAGCCACAAGGCTCGTTTACCAGTGTCCACGCTACAAATCCGCGACACTCGTGAAAAAAAAAATTATTACATAAATTTCGAGGATCATCTCTGGTCTTCTAGCCCGTTTCTTTCTGTTTCATTCATGCAGAAAGGGACGGTGGTCCATTGACGAGTTGAATCATGGCGTGTTTCGCGAGAGCCGCCTCCTTCAACCGTCCAGGTGGTTATTCCCTCCTTTACGGTTAATTAGGAGTCGGCGAAGAGACTCGACCGGCCAATTCTCGTAATTAAACGAACGACGGGGGTGGTGGGTGGCCGCCGCTTTGTGTTATGATTTTCTAATTAGTTCGTACAGGTGGAAAAAAGGCCGACAGTCGCGTTCTATCGTTATATTCCATTCAGTCACCGTTAAAGACTTAACACATTTAGAATACATACTCTTAATTCTTCTGTGAAACTATAATACTTAATAGAACAACGGTTAAATAATATCTTGATATGCTTAGAATACATAGTACCAATTCTTTGGTTAAAGAAAATGGTAGGAATAAAAACGATCCATAATACTAAAGTTACAATGCTTATCAGAACGACGGTAAAAAATACTGGAAATCATATAAAAACCTGGATAAACTATTCAGGATGATAATTCATTCTTTCTTAACGGTAAACGAAATGATATGAAGACCAGTCTAGAATAGCAATGTGCTTCATTTACATCAACATTCCCATTTTACTCGTCTATTTTATTCTACGCATTATCCGCCTTTGACTATCCCCCATCTCGATTCTTTCAAACGAAGCAGTGCATAATCATTCTACTATCCCAAACGCGACCCAAATACCACCTGCTTGACTAATACGATGCAATTATACTTATCGGACTCCCAGCACACAGACCCTTGTCACGGAACCTCTTCGCGCACGAACCACTCGAATGTCCGTACAGAGCGAAAGAGTACAAACATAGCTCGAGTATCCCGATGTATCAAGTATTTATTGACTTTTCATCACGACTCTACCCACTCTGATCGATTTCATCAGACGATTCCAAATGTTTCGCGTGCCCAGGCGCGGAACACACAACGGTTACAGCCTTCTGGTAAAAGAAGGAACGTGCTTTTTGCATTATTCATCGGTCTGCACGAACCTGGCCTCCCTTTATTCCCCCTTCCACCATCCCTTCCTACGCTACCCCCCCAACTATTTTTCTTTCCCGTTCGTAGCGTCTCGTGGGCGACCTGGTGGGCGGAACTTGGTCAATAATTTTCGCGGGTATTAAACACGGCGGAAGTGCAGAACGTGTCCCATCGATTTCTAGTTAAGCGCGGCGAGCTGAGATATCGCCCTCGGCTTGATAACGCCGATAAGCACGGGGAACCTCGATGCAGTTGGCAAGTTAATGAGACCCTCGTCTCGTTTCAGCTTTTTCTTCCGTCCCCCCTTCTCTGGCCCTGCTTTCTACACCATCGAGCACAAACTGTGGAAAGAACTACTCGAAATCACGATGTTGATTTACGATGGTGGAAACTTTAGTTACAAGATGAAGGTACTTTAAGGGAAACACACGGGATTGATGTAACAGTCCACGGATTTTCTTTTTTGTCCGAGGATATAAGCTGTATAGAAGAAAATCGTGTTGAAGAAAATGTATAAATTCATTTTTTATTTACTTTAGAGGATATTACTCTGGGCTGTGCGGGTCAGACCACGGAGCTTTATGAAATTACTCGTTTTTCTGGATCGTTAGATTGAAGTATCTAACGGTCCAAAATTTTTGAAGAGATACGGGATTTATTAAGTCACTTATGAAATGAATTTTTATTATATTTTTTTATAATGGATTCGTTGGTTTTTTTATGCAAGCTTCTATGCATCATAAAAGCATATGTTTGGCTGCTATTTGTCTGTGTATACGCTGACCTACACTACTTGTGTGCCTAAACACGTACTGGTATTACTCCGTTCTCTGTGTACTAATCTCTCATGCTTATCTATCTACATGTCAAGTTACACCAACTGTCTGCCTAGACCCCAACTTTTACCACTTACTTACCTGCATACTAATTTCTACCACTTGTCTGTCTAGATACTGACTTCTACCACTTGTCCGCCTAGATACTAACTTCGACCACTTGTCTGTCTATACACTAACTTCTACCACTCGCACGTACAAACTCAATCCTCTAATACCACACTGAAAACATCCATGAAACCGGAAACTCCGTTATCTTAATACACCTAATAACCATCAATTTGTGGGTGTTCATGGAAACACAGAACGTCCTGACTCGTCTCCAAGGGTCGAAATCAAATACAGATCCTTTTACAAACACTAAAATCTCTCAAAAATTTTATGAAACCTTCAATTACATTAAGCTTCGAACAGTCATGTGCACCATAGAAGCAAAGCAACCACAGTCTACGAACAATCCTAAACGGTCCTCGGAAGTTCTCCGCCGAACGATTAGAACATTCAAGTGAAACGATAAAAAATCTCCCGCGGTTGAATCTCTCGTTTCACGACTCAGGATTCCTTCTTCGCCCACCGCGGGACCCACGGAATAATCCACGGCTCTCCGGGGGGATCTTTCTTATTAGATTTTTATCCCAGGAACGTTCGAGCGTACGGGACCCGTGATAAAACTTTGAAATGACACGGGGTCCGGACGGTGGCGAGGTGAACGGCGGCATCGACGTTTAAAAATCAACGACACCTGGATATGTAAGATTTACGGTTCACTTTCCTACTTCCGCAGGTCAGTACCACGTACCGTCTTCCAATCTCCTCTCGACTGACGTTCGCGCGCACCAGTGGAAACTCCGCTCGCTTTCAATCACGAGCCCGTTACACGAGAACTTTGACCCGTCTGAACCGAAACCTCGTTTCCCACGTCAACCGTTTCACCCTTTGGGAAATTCTGAACGGACTGACTTCACTTTGCGGTGGACGTCGACGTTTCAGGACGATGATTTTGTCTGGCCTTTTTGCGATCGTTATCTCCGGTTCATTCACATCATGAATATTTACGCCCTTTTTCTTCGTTAATAAAAAAAAGAAAAAAAAAACACTACACGAAAGTACGTCGCAATTTCTTTTAACACTACGACCACCGACAACGACACTCTGACATCGTGTGAGTCTCAACTAGTATTTTTCACATAAAAACAGTTATTGAATTTTTTTTTCTTACGTACATAGGAAAAACAATATTTTATAGATTCCTTATCCTCTAATAGTAAGGTCAAGCGTTAAGTCACAGGTTTATGACAGCTGTGGAATGACTTTTTTTTTTATAGTCTGTCATCATAAATGGTCGACTTCTCTCGCGACGAATCGTTTCACGGAATTGTCCTGTGCCCGATATCCTCCCGTGTTACACAGCGATGACCCCTTTAATAAACCGGCGTCGAGTTTTCGAATCACGTAATTGGACAATTATCGAATCCCCGGGTCCGGCTATCACGTTGTTCACGTGCTGTTTGACGATCGCCAGGGAGCTGGGGTCGTAACATTCATCGGGAGGAGGGAGGGGAAGGGGAGTGCAACAGAAAACCCGGGATTTCTACCCGTTAATGAAATCTTCAATTTACGGGGCAGGTCGACCGTAAGGCGCGTGAATCGTAAATTATTTGGAGTTTGCACGCACACACACTCACACCCATAGATACTCCCAATCGATTTCCCAGTTTCGTGTGCGATGTACGGCTTGTTCGATGATAATTTGCGAAGCTTCGAGCATTGGGGACGATGTTCCATTCCTCTTCTGTATATGTGAAGTGTATGGAATGTATGAGCATCCCCTTAATGTTGGATCCACTAGAAACGTCGAAATAACTGGTTTATAAATTATAATACAAGTACGAGGGAAATTTTGAACGATGTATTCTCTGTGAATTTATGACGGAATTACGAGAACTACGTGGAACA